ACTGGGAGACTATTGGATAAAAGGCATGTGTATTACTATCTAACCCAAACTGCCTACCAGGTAAGTGAAAACAGGAGATAAATCTTACATCACATTCTCTCAACTCCCTCCCTCCAAAATATTCTCTCTAAAGAAAATTATGAGGCTATAAAGAAGCATTACTTGTGGCCATAGCATAGGAGACATTTCATGCACCATCCTGGTATACAGCATTTAATCCAAATAGAAGTTTCCATTTGAACAAATTTATGTTTTGATCTCCAAAATGCTGCAGGACAAGGTGGTTCTTCCATTTAAAAAGGTACGAAAACATACTCAGTAAACCTCTCCTTGAAATCTCCTGTCCACTACAACATTTAAAAAAAAGAAAACAACCACCCAAAAGCAAAAAAACATTGACCATAAAACCCCAAACAATTCCAACCATTCACATATGCCTTTTAGGTCTCTTATGGCTGTCTCCTTGAAGGCTGGACTCACAGCCTGCAGCTAACAAGGACCTTTCCTTCCAAATGAAAAGAGGAGAGCAAGAAAATAATTGATTTTATCTCAGCAAGAGTGGACTGCAATCACACATTGTGCTATTGGCATGACTGACAGAGGCTGGTTTCCCACTGTGCCTAATTTCCTAAGGATGCCATCCCTTGGCTGCCCTGGGATTGACTCAGTGCACAGTGAGGTGTGCTCAGAGCTCTGCTGAGCTCTCACCTCTCCAATACAAACTGATGGCCTTCACACTAACATTTACAAGGAGGACACTGCCGGAAATAACTGCTTTTTCCTTGACTGAAAAAATCAAGACCTGCCCTCACATCAGAGTTCTGAAAGCTTCCACAGTGTGGCAGGTCAGAAAGAGAATTTTTAGAAGTGTTCCCAAATTGATTTTAGCAAGTGAAGATAAGGAGACTTCTGAGAAACAGCAATGCCAGGTGGAACTGTTCACCTCTGTGGACATTTTTCCCCAGCCCTCAGAAGAGTGGATACAAAGGCAAGTGTAAGCACACAGCTCTGGGTCTTACCCTTTATACAAGAGGGAAGTTTACATTTCAAGTTCAAGAAACAGAACTTCCCTAAAGCAAATAAACTCGCCTAATACCACAGGATAGAAAGTAGCAATCAATCATTCCCATTTCAGCTAATAAGGGTACATTTTCTACTGTCTTGACTAATAGAAACTTCTGCCAACTATTCTGTGCAGAACCACCAGCCAATGCTAGAAAGAACAGAAGGCTAGGCTGCCATTCCTCTAATTTCCTTTCATTTAAAACTCATTAATATAAATAAATTTGAAGTAGTTGGGATCTAGCCAGCAGTGAAACCCATGCAATTTTATTTACAATAAATATCTGCTATCTTGGGGCTACACACTCAACAGGACAATACTTAACACAGTGTGATAAAGGTGATAAACACAAACAGTGAATATCAAGGAAGAGGAAGGCATCTGTAATCCATTCATCTTTAAAGAGAGAATAAAAAAAAGCAACACTGTTCCACACAGCAATTAAAATCTGAACAGTTGGAGGAATAAAGCAAAAAAAAAATCAAGGCAGGCCTGCGGAAAGGGAGAGAAAAAATAAAACAAACAAACAAACACTACCACAAAAATTCAAACCCACAGGAAATATCTGATGCACTAGTCCTATTAATAGCATAAAAGTCACTGGCAGATACTATCACCCAGCATTTGTTAATTAACTGAAGATACACAGATACAAGGGGCTCAGAAGTACAAAGAACGAATGGGCTGCACAAACTGGCTTTTTGCAGAGAACACAGTGTGCTTCCTACAAGGATACAGCATCTAAATTAGCCAGCAGCACTTCCTGAGTCAAAGAAAACCTCCAGTTAAACAAATTCTAGAGTCCCCACCATGACCCATTCACTTTTTATGTGTGTATGCCTATGATTTTCCATGCAATGAGTAAAAACAAGCTATCTGAAAGGTTTTTATAGAGAAAGACGGTAAAGTTTAGTGCATGTGAGTTTCTAGGAAAATGAACGACACACTTCTGTGAAAACAGAATTTCAAGGTATGAACCTGGATTTCTGTTTTAGTTTAGTTTGTAACCCATCAGCATTATTCCCAAACAGTATTTCTTCATGTAGAAACATTCAAATAATTTTATTTCTCATCACAGAAGGCTCTAGGAACCTAACAAATAAACCAGTGTTGACATACCTAAACCTAGGGATTTATTGCACATTGCACATATCTCTTCTGGAGACTTGTTGACAAATACTCAAACAGGCTCTGTGTCTTTGGCAAGATCCGTGTGGTACATTTTTTACCCCCTGATCTGTGTCATCTGTCATACGACCAGGTAGCACAGTAATTCAGTAAAAGGAAAGAAAACTAAAAAATGTTTCCACTTCTCTTTGCCAGGACTTATACATCACTATGTTAGTAAATACTTTCTGTCATTTCCTTCGGAAAATATTGTAATTCAGAAAAATGCCAAGCAAATGCAATAGGTCATCAGTTTAAATTGTAAATAATGGTTGACTTTGTTATAATTTTTTTCCAAGCATCCTTTTGCAATATGACATTGCCTGCAACGTCTGGTTAAAGGATTTAATTTTGTTCAATAAAGAGACAAGAATTGGAAGTCAAAAGCTTTTAGAAATAAATTGGCATTCATGGGTTGTGGGAAGCTCTGCAAATACTGGGTATTTATAGACCCTTTTTTTTTCTAGATGGAGAAGAGCAAATAAATTACAACAAACAATTTATTCAACACATGTTGTTTGTTCATTTCCAGAATGTGAAAATAATCAGAAATTCATGAACAAATCTATCAATTATTTTAATAAATCCAATTACATGCATTCTACTATTCACTGTTCTAACTGCTCTGCTTTGCAGAGAAGAGGCAAGACTTACATAAATGGTACACTTGCTTTTTTTCATTACAAGCAATCAGTCCTGAGTCAGCCAAGCTCAAAATTTACCTTCTGTTTCAATGGAACTACTCCTAAAATTTAAATATGTTCTAAAAGAATTTTTTTTTTCCAAAATAAGGCAACTTCAGTAAGTTAAATACATGCTGACCCCCCTTATGGATCACTGCTGCAGCAAGTTCTCTCATCCAGTAACTTCAAGATGAAAAATGCACCATTTTCTTTTCCACTACTGAAGAAGCCTTTTCTCTCTGCTAAGGAAGGCCTTGTGGCACAAAGGACATCAAAGGCTGCAGGTGCAGTCTGAGAAATCACCACATACAGCTAATATTTAGAGAAAACACTGTTAGCATTTGCCCAGTACTAACTGCAGCAATGTATAAACCCTTCACACAAAGGGTATGAGTTTTATAAAATTCATGGAGTTTGGAGCACTTGAGTTTTGCATTTTAAAAGTACTTCTGCAGCTATCCACCCAGCCCACATTCATGAAGCAAGCTGCAACTTTCAAAGTGACCAGAGCTTCTAAAAGTGCTACCAGAATTTCAGGGGAGGAAAGGATATCAGGTCTCAGGAGCCACAGATTTTTAAGTGTGTTTCCTTCAGCTTTTCATTCCACAGTAGGTATAAGAAAGATTTTGAGTTTCAGTATTTTTGCTTTCCCTGTATGCTTAGCGTGGACACATGCCATGCCCTCTTAGCCTCGGGGGACTATTTGGGTGTCTAAAATTAAATGTTTATTGATGGAATAACCTGATGTTCTATAGAAACAGACAGCATAGGGAGGGCCTCCAAAAGTTGTCCCTGCAAGCCTAACTCTGCTCCTGCTGAAATTAACTTTGAAAAATTCAATCTTAGACCATTACCTAGGTCCTCTCATCACAGGTGTTGCAGCTTTCCTCTGGCACTGTACCATATTGACTATAGGCCAACTTTACAGCAGACTTCTGCCAGAAAAGTTAGTTCCACACTTCTGCCTGAAAGCCTTTTCCTTTCATTTATTTAGTTTTTGAGCTGGAAAGGGATTCGTTTTCAGGCAGGTCCATCTTGGATCCAGCTCACCAGATGGCTACACAAACAAGGGTGGCAGAGAAAGGCAGGGAAAGGAGAAAGGAAGGTGCAGGATGCAGCCAGAGGTGATGAAGGCTTTTCAATGCCACCCTGCACTATGGTTGGCTTGCTGAAGGACATTTAAGTGACCTGATAATTTCATTCTTCAGCTCCTAGAGAAGAGCTTCATGTCTTCTGAAGAGTCAGTATCAGTGAGATGACATCTCTCCACTAACTTGGGGCCATTTAATTAAAATTTCAAGTGCTAAGCACTGTCCTCTCCAGTTAGGACAGCTCCCTCTTCCTTTCACAGTCTGTCTTAAAGAACACATAATTGTTTCAGTATAGTGAGAACAGCATTACAGTGACCTCAGCTGCCCAAATACACCCAGCCTCCTTTAGAGGTGAGTCTTTACTAACATTCTCTCCCAATGCAATTCAGTTTTGCCCGTAGTGACTCAAACTATGCACATGGACTGAAAAATATGGAGTAGAAAATAGAAAATTTTGTCAAAAATGTATCTCAAAGAAGGCATCCAGATTCCTTTCATGAATATGTCAGCATTATAAAGTCACAGTAAATTGTTAGTCAGTAGGATGTCTGAATGATTAAAACCTTCTGAGCTTTGAAGGCATCTTCTCTGCAGGAATTTGTCAACTCCTGTTCAGTTCACTATTGGGAGCACTTAAAAGACAAACAATGTTATGTACAATCTGGTCACTGTAGATGTATTTCTGCCATTTTAACGAGTCTCTCTCCCTTCCAGACAGCAAAATCAACACCATCCAGATGGAATGCAAACAATTACATGCACAGTACCTGTCCATTTCATAGCAATACCATTTCCTTCCCTCAAGTATTACTGGTTAGTGGTACAGGTGGTACAATTTGGGTTATATTTTGAGAAAGTAACACATTTTTTTCAAGGCAAGAGCAACAAAGATATTCCTGCTACTTAAACAGTAACAGATATTGAGGAAATTAGAAGAGATCTCCAGGACAGAAATAGCATCATAAAGCTAAAATGAGCCAACACATCATCACATACCTTACGTTTGTTTGTTGGGCAAACATACAAGTAGCTCAAAATAGTCTTCAGGCCAACTTTATCATTCAGTTTTTCATATGTTGTCCCATAATCTGTTGACCTACAATTCAAGAGAGATTTTTATAAGTACAAACACTTAATCACAAAACCACAAGTCACTTGGCAGCTTTTCAATATAAGTCATGCTTTAAATAGCAGAATGGCTCTCCAGAGCTTTTTCAATGATTCATGTAGTATATAATGATACTTAATTATATACACACAACATCATGTGCATGTTTATAATTTGCATTTAAATTAGATTAGGAAAAATTAAACCAGCCTCTTCCTAAAGCATCTTAAAGATGTAAGATAAAAAATGCTACATTCTGTATGCAGAAGATAATGATTGTCAGAAACGCCAAGTAGCAGACAGCAAGAGACTAAGGTTATCAATTCATCAGATACTCCAAGCTTAGACTAATTTTGTTAAGATGGCTCATCTCAGCATATTCCAAAGTAACTTCTCTGACACTGACCAGCAGAAAGGATGGACGTATATTCTTGCTTTAAAAGCCACCATTCAGTAGAGAAAATATTTCTGAAATGAGGTTTGCCCATAAAAACACTGATTACATGTCTTGGGGAAGAACAAAAGAAATGATCAAATAAGACTGTCCAGTGTTCCTGTAGGAGTTACTCTTAACATGGGACTGGAACCAAGATCAATCATCAGCAGAGGTTTTGTTCATTATGCAGCTCATGCTTGCCTGAATTCTGTCCCAGTATCCCAGGGATTTAGATAATCAGCCTAAACCAGTAGAGCTGGCATCCATAAATTGCAGAAGGGGACATGTATCTGGGTAACAGACATTCAAAAGGATAACATATTCCTATATCTCATCTGTAACATGTACAAATGGGCTTATATAGAACTTCACTTGCAAGCAGTAACATGAATTTTCCCTTGTGCTAAGCACTCCAAACCAAACATTCTGAAGTAAAACCTTGGCACTCATTATTTTCAGATTCTCTCCTATCAGGGCAATAGTGGCTAAATTCACAAAGGCATTTGGGTGGAATATGGTAGGTGGAACGTTTCTGAATCAAGTACCATACCTACATTCATATTAAAGCTTCTGGGATTTCAAATTTTGCAATCAGTACATGAATAAAACAAGAAAGTAGCAGCTTAGGGTTTTATCCATGAAAGATGAATTGCACTAAAACGTGAATCTGCATTAAAGTTGAGTCTTTCTATTTAGGAACTTTATAGAAGCCTTTGCACGTATCTGCCTGCTCATATAACAATTGGTCTATGATTTATGTCCACAGATTTCTCCTTCCTTCCAATAACCACACGCCCTCCTGTGTGCATGTATGACCTTTGGTGTTTAGAACATTAATGCCAAATTCTCAGCTGCTGACTGATCTTTCCCTTTATAAGGTCATCTCTCTCAGGAGCACATGTAAACTAACTGAGCTACCTCCTCAGAGGACTGAGGAGTAGGATACTATTCTGGTTGCTTCTGTTACTGAATATTTCAGAGATGCTCCAGCATCCAGGTGAGGGGATCCACAGCAGGATGCTGAACACAGTCTGGTCAAGGACTTCAGCTTGCCCCACCTCACCACCCAGTCTTACCAGAAATGAGTATTTCTGCTGCTCTCTGCCTAAACCCCAAAAGCTACCCTTTGTGAAGTTTGAACTGACAAAGAAATGCAAACAGCAAGGACTAAACCTGACCTGCTGAGTAAGGAAAAATGTATTAACAAAATAATGTTGCTTTTTATTATACCAGTGACAACAAATTCAAAACGAGATTCTTCAAAAGGGGATAGGAGCAAAGAAAATCTCAGACATAAAACTTGCTTTCAAATTGTTCAAGAAAGGCAGCCAGTACCCCTGCCACAACACAGGCAAACTTATGTCAACAGCCTATTGCAAATGGCAATCTCAGAATTGCCAGCCACTTCTTACTTCAAATCTCCAGGCAATTGTTTTGCATTCACAGCTTTATTTACAGGTAACACTCTACACAGATGGAAGTGTGTGCTTCTGTCAACATCCATAAAAGAAACCGAAAGATTTAAAAGCTTAGAAAAACATCATTTTTTTCTTTCAGATGAACAAATTCACAAGCAATCGAAGGAGCTACTATATCTTACTCTCATTATTGTGTTCTAAACTGACAATAGCCAGTCCTTCCACCTTCCTATTTGTCAGTTTTTTCTTTTGTACCACTTTACAATTACCCTTAATTCCAATAGAGGGGATGGGAAGGAATATTATATACACAACAGATATAGATATATATATATACAAACACAGCAGATAGCCATCTATAAGTGTTTTAACACAAAGAAATAGGAATATATACATTTGCAGAGCAGTGGGGAAAAAATAATTATATCAAAGGAAATACTGCATACCTGGGAAGTCTGTTGGGATCTAACCCAAACATATAACCAACCTGCATTCTTCGCATTTCTATTATACAGATATATGCATGCATATGTATAGAAGCAGGTACTGATTAGCAGCCTAGTTAACGAGCTTTGTTTGTCTTATTAAATGGGTGTATAAAGCAGCATGAGACTCCTAACCCATAAAAACACATCAGCCATTGGATGGCCCTGGAAGCCAGCCTAACCTGGAAGAGCTGCAAAAGACAGATGCACCTCAGCAGGGTGTAGGCACTAATGACAGAGTAGGATCAACAAATTCAATCCCAGTTATCTAAAGAGGAAAGGATATGTAGCAAGAAACATCTCCACGTTTTGTGTGGAAGACTGCTCCTCTGAAGTTCTGCAGAGAGAAATCAGTTTTAGTCCATCTCTATAACATGAGCAAGCAAATACCTGGAGAAATCATCGTAGAGGATTACACCCAGGACCTGTAGAGCTGGAAACAAAAATAAACTATGCCTTCTAAATAGCTACAGCTATTGGAATAACTGTATGTAAATGAGTGAACAATAAGCCCTATTTTATTGTGTCTTGTGTAGACACGTATTGCAATGGTGTCTCAAATTGTCTGGGGGGAGAAGGGGCATGTGAGTGGTACATTGTGGATGTCACTGTGAAATGCAGATGACGGTAGATGAATAATATCTAGAAAATAAAAGTATTTAGACTCAATTCTGAACTTCACACCTGTCCCATCATACTAGTTGTAATTGCTATCATTAAATCCTGAATTTTACCAGTAGCTCTTTAAAATCTGACTCCCTATTTTTTCAGTAAAGCAGAGGACAATGCAAGAAGATAAACATTTTCATGATTACTAGCTCATTTCACAGTATAAAAATGTAACAAAATTGTGAGATTGAAGCTCTGGCTTTCCCAGTAATATATTAAAGCAAAACTAGAAACATGTAGAATAATTTCTGTTTTGCAAACTATTTGCAAGAAAGCTGACATTTAAATAACTTCATTATTATTCATTGACAGGGCTTTTCCCTCTCCTCCCGTCAGGGTAAATGACATTTCTATTACAGTATTATAATAAACTCCTGCACATTTTAAATAAAGTCACTGAATTCCATTAGTCCACCTACTGTCATGAATATATCTCAATCCATTCCTACCAATATTTCACAATTATAACAGGCATTCTGAATCAACCAGCAACATGAACCCTATGGAAATTTTCTTCTTTCTCAAGAAGCACAGACTGACAATCAGAGTACTGTCAGTTTGAATATATAGATTAAATAAATTCCCTAGCAAGTTGCTTTTTTCTCCTTTGTTACAAATTTAAGGTTTCCTGTAGTTATTTCACATAAGACGCTGAAAACTTGAAGAATTAAACAGTTGATCATTTGGTCAGGAGGGCTTTTTTTTTCTTTTTTTTGCATAAGATCTTTCTGGAATACTCCATGAAAAAAAAAGAAAACCCTTACTTGCAGACTTTATGCTGTCTCATATCTCCTGCTTATTGAGTACAGCCTTCTTCCCATGCTAACAGATAAAGTTACTTGTTATAACACATATCATTAAGAAGCAATCACTTTAATTGGCACCATTTACTTTTTTTTTCTTTTCCCACCAGTTATACCTGGTTTTCACACAGTAACTTGACTTCTTCCCCCAGGTCCACCATGAGAACACTGCACTTCACGTCCATTTCCCCCTCTTTCCTCCACAGTTTAATTCGCTGCTCTAACCGAGGTACAAGTGGCAGCCAGCCCAGGGCAGCAGGACCTGAAGCACCTGGAACGAGGTGTGTGAGCAGAGAGGGCAGCCTGGCCTGAGCAGGAGCACTGTGAGGGATGGGCTCTGGCCTTTTTCTCCTTCTGCACAGGAATTTACCCCTGGCACCAGCCAGGCACTTTTAAGTTAAGCAATGACTATTAGATCTTGTGTTCCAACCTTGCACGTAACTGAGTTTGCCACCTGGTTTGCCTCCAAAGGGAATGGCCAGGTGAGCACAAGATTTGCCAGTTGCTATCATATTAATCTCTACAAGAGCAGATTTTTGGAAAGAAAGCAGATTGCAGAAGGCAGAACTGCAGAGCCACAGGCTGCACTTATAAAAGGCTTTCAAATGAAGGACTTTCTGAATAAAGGAATAGACATTTAAAATTATCTTTCATGTCTGAATGCAAAAAAAATACTAGAGCTGGTAATTCTGGAGCAAATTTGTATTCCTGTTTGCAGTACTTTAAGCCTGTTTTGTAATCTCTGCTGTAGAGTTGTTGACTTTTGCACTCATTTTTTTCTGGGGATACTTTGAGGTGCTATTCCTTCATCCCTTAAATTGAAACTCTTTACTTTGGTTTCATAGCCAGGTAGTAAAGTTTCCCATTGATTTTTGCCACACCACCATGTTTCACAAAAGCTAGTAATGTCAAAGTCTTCTTCAAGAGCTAGCCATTTATGTTCTCATGTTCCTCCTGTTAAGCCTTTCACAAGGGATTAATAGATATCACTTCTGGTCTAATGCCTCTTTTCATTTAACTCCTTCATGTGCAACCCTGGTATTTTTTCCAAAAAGTAATAATGACTGATCTCAGTTTCTCAGGGTGAAACTTTTTGGGTTTTTTTAAATCTCATTCTTTATTTTCACAGAAAGCTAACTCTTGTTTTGCAAATTACCTTGCTTCACCGGCACACTTC